ATTTTTTTTTTTTTTTTTTTTTTTTTAAATTCTGATCTCCAAGTTCATCACTAATTTCTAATTACTTTTCTAATCTCCTCCTGGTAGTTGTAGAGTAGTTTTCGTGGGACCCATTTTTATTAATTAATTAATTTTTTTTGCTAATGCTGGTTCTTAGTATGGAGTTTTAGTTCCAGTCAAGCTATCACATCGCTGTCTTCAAACTTTCTCCAAATTAATGACGCTTCCGATATTATATTATTTTATTTTCTTCAATTTAATTCAATGAAATGAAAAGGAAATGGTCATACTATTAATTGTTTTTAATTATGAAACAGCAAATTATGTAATTATCCAAATAAATGTTATGTTGTTAATAAAATGAAAATAGTTGTAAATGGAAGCAAGAAAGAAGAAGGGATGGCCCACGAAACCCACCCTCTCATAGACATCCAACCAAATAATTAAATTGGAAAACCCACCATAACCCTCCAAAAATAATAATAATAAATAAATAAATAAATATAAAACGACAAAAAACCTCAAAACCCCCCTGTCAGAAACATCTGCCACGCAGGTTACTTCATTAATTACCGGCATTAGCCGGTCTCCCCCCGGTTTCCCGAAACCCTATGCTCCTCCCTCCCCTCAAACCCACAAAAACTCATGAGTTTATCTCATTTTTATTTGTTTGCTTTTAAAGCGGGGGATAAGAGACGAAGGGTGCAGCTGAGACACAGAGAGAGACAGAGAGAGAAAGAGGTCGTCTATATTTGTGTGTCCTAAACAAACACTCCCACAAATCCCTTCTCTTTTGTGTGCTTCCTTAATTAATGGCTGAAGGTATTGAATCCTTCGACCATGTCCCTCAACAAAGCCGGCGCGACAAGCTCCGGGAACATTCCGACCACCGTTCCACTTTCCTCCCTTTCTACGACGACCCTTCATCCTTAATCTCCCCCCCATCCGACTCCACCCATCGTTTCCAATTCCAGCACCACCCTTTCTTCGACCCCCAAATCCAATCCTCCCTCTTACCCGACATCCATCATCAAAACCATTGCTTCACCTCCGAGCCTCTCTCCCTCTCCCTCTCCTCTCAGCCCTTCCTCGCCGCCCCTATTCCCGCCGCCCTCCCTCTCGGCCCTTTCACCGGCTACGCTTCCATTTTAAAAGGCTCCAGGTTTTTAAAGCCTGCCCACCAGTTGCTAGAGGAGCTTTGCGATGTGGTTGGCCTTCATCCCGCCTTCCCCTCCTCTTCCTCCCTCAACTCTCCCCCTTCTCCTTCTCCCTCTGCTTTCATGGATGACCCTTCCTCTGACTCTCCAATTCTCGACCACCATCCCCTTGCTTCCTCTCATTCTGCCCCTCCTATCAAATCCACCCTTCTCTCAATGCTCGATGAGGTACTACTTCTTTACTCTCTTCTTCACTAATTTCCTATTTAAACCTTTTTTTTTAAAAAAACATTTATTTGTTATGCTCTAATTCTAATTTCCCTTTTACTTTTTTTTAAGATTAGATAGGGACATTTGGGTTTAATGCGTAATTACCATGCTTCCTTATTGCATATCACAATAATACGTTACCAACTTTAATTACTTCCCCCTTTCTTGGATTTTTTTTTTCTCAATGGGTTTGGTTTATCATCATCATTATTATATTATATTCTTAATCATGGACTCTAAATAGTACTGTAATTTAAATTATAAACAGGGTGCATGTTGAATGGGCATCATGAATTAAGGGAAACATAAACAAAGATTCCTTTGATTAGGTGAAACTGAAGGAAGGAAGGGAGGAACATGCAACCTTATTATTATTCCTAAGATTGATTGTTGTGTGTGTCCTCTGCTTTAGTTAATATGCATTAGATTCGTGTATTTAAAAGATTGTTTTATCCTCTCATCTTTTTAGAAAAGGTGACGAGAGGGAATATATGCACAAATCAGTATTGGCCTTCCAAAGTGCCTCTCGCTAACTTGATAGCTCTAAGGATACTTTTACCAAGTTTGGGCATAATGTGCTTAATCAAAGTCCTCCAACGAATCCATTTCCATAAAGATTTATACCAATTAAACCCATTTTCACCACAAATATATTCTCTGTTTTTCATTTATACTATTCTACTTCTCATAACTTGTTGACCAATTATATGCATACGAGTGATGTTTTTAGTATTATTAGCTTAGCATTTGTTTTGGGGTTATTGTGTAGATTTACAGGAAATATAAGCAGTACTATCAACAAGTTCAGGAAGTAATGACATCTTTTGAGTACATCTCTGGCCTTGGGAATGCAGCGCCCTATGCAAACCAGGCTATTAAAGTGATGTACAAGCATTTCAAGTGCTTGAAAAATGCAATTCTTGACCAACTTCAATTCAATAAGAAGACTCGTGGTGACTACGGTCAAAGATCCGGTCAGAACCCGGGATTTCTCGACCATCAGCCTGTTTGGCGACCGCAACGGGGGCTTCCCGAACGAGCAGTCACCGTTCTTCGTGCTTGGTTGTTCGAACATTTTTTGCATCCGTAAGTACTTAACTATAACCCCAAGCATGGTGGTGTTGGGTTTTTAGTGTGTTGATTGGTATTGTTTTGGTTTTTTGTTTGGACAGTTATCCTTCTGATACAGACAAGCTTATGTTGGCAAAACAGACTGGTCTGTCTCGTAGTCAGGTCCGCTTTCTAATGTCAATTCAAACTTCACGTTATTTATTTATTTATTTATTTTGCTCTAAAACACAATAAATCTCCTCTCTTCTGTGAGACAGGTATCTAACTGGTTCATTAATGCAAGAGTTAGGCTTTGGAAGCCAATGGTTGAAGAAATATACATGCTTGAAACCAAACAAACACAGAAGAATTTGCATAGAGATGATCGCGACTCCAACAGGCTAAACGATCACCATCCAACCAACTTGCTCGCCATCGATAACCCCTCTAAATCCGCTCAAGAAATTCAAGATACTCCTACCAAACGTACCCGAAACAAACCTCACGAAGTGCCAATGGGAAATCACGACGAGCCCTTGAACGTGTCTTACAACGTTTCGAGCCATCCCCATGTAGGCTCAAATGCAAATATGGGGGGGAACAACAATGGAGTTTCGCTAACTCTTGGTCTTCACCAGAACAACAATAACGGCATTGGTGGTGGCTTTTCAGAACCCTTTCCTGTTGGGTTCCCCGTTGCGGCGACTCGACGTTTCGGGCTGGGAATTCAAGGCAGTAGTGATGGGTATGTAATGGGAGGACATTTTGGTAGAGATGTTGTTGGAGGGCAGCTGTTACATGACTTTGTAGGGTGAAATTGATTGTGGGGTTTGAAGTTATGATGTTAGGAAGACAAGAGGTTCCATATTATTTGGCAGTGAAGCTGTATTAAGATATATATATATAGGGTTTAGATGAGTAAAAACTAGTAGAGAAGAGCATAAGCAAATGGCATACCTCCCAATTCCTACCAGATAAAACAAAAGATAGATGAGAATTCAAACCTCAAAACGCCATTATTTGCCATTATGTAACAATTTCTTTAGGACAGAACAGGAAGAGTGTTCTCTATGTAGGTGGCGTGTTCTTACGCATTTTTAGAGAATAATCGTTGTTCGAAATTTAACCCTAATTTGCCGTTTGGGATGTATGTATGTATGTATGTATGTATGTGTGAATGAATGATTGGGATTTCGAAGTTTGTTGGGCTAGTGGGCTCACTTTCTTTCTTTTCTAAAAGTATTTTGGGCTTTTCTTTTTCTCTCTTTAAAGGATAGTGGGCCTAGATTTCCAGTGGAGATATGGGGAATCTCTGATCTTCTATGTGGAGTATTAAGAACCACAAATCGATTTTAATCTCTATACAACCCAATCAATTAGGTTACTTTTTTGGATACAAAATTTATTTGTATTGGAATTAAACTGGAAAATTATAAGATGAGCTATGTATACAAATCATAATCACATGAGGAATTGTAGTTGAATGGGAAGATGAGTAAGATAACATTAACTTAAAACTGGGTGAAAACAGGGAAGAAAAATGTAGGGCAATCTTTTATTGATAAATAGGGTAAGATCTCTTATCCTACAGGATCTTTTTTTTTTTTTTTTTAAAATAAAAAAAAGTGGTCAAACGAAGAACAACATGATTCTAGTAGAGCACCTTATCATGTGTTTCTCCTTTGTTTTATTCACCTTTTCCTTATAAAAGAAATAAAATGAATTTTGAAACCCATTATAAATACGGATGGATTTACCTCATGAACTTCAGCTCCATCTAAATCCAAAGCTTCTTCCTCAGTCAAAAAACTCTCTACTCTCTGCTATTTTTTCTTCTTTTCTGCAGAGTGAGCTTTGATTTTATAATTTTTATTGGGTAAGGATCAGGTAATCTGCATCCTGAGGTTTAGATCAGAGTAATCAAATTTATAATAATAATAAATTTAAAAAAAAAAAGAAAAAAAGGTCTCCTTTTCTAGGCCTCGGGTTGCAGATTACCTCTTCCCTTCCAACAATGCTGGATTTCGCAATCAGATTATCAATTCTCCTGCAAGGTTAGTGTGCTTTTCTGGCGAACAGAACTTCATTGAATTATGAGGCATATCTTCTTTATATCATAAAAGGGTGCCTATAACTTTTACGGGTAACAAAAATGAATCTTTTCAATCTATTATTGCAACAAAAGGACCCGTTTTCCTTGTCTAGATATTACAGTAAATGTCGAAGCTTAAGTTAAGAGGATGATGACCTTTTGTTTTGCTATGAGCACTTTTGTGGAGTCCTAGGAGATAGAAATGATATCTCAAAGTTGTATAGATGGTGTTACTGGACTCCACTCCATCTAGCCCAGTCGATAAATTGCATTCCAGCGTACACGTTATTGCCAAATCGAATACCTACCGTGAAAGCCAAAGCAACTGTTGGAATATACTTTGCTAATGCTGATGATTCCACTACGCGTTCCAGTCCATTGATGATCTGGTAACGCGTGTTTGAAGATACTGCAAGAAAAACTCCTGCAAGTTTGGCCGTAACAAAGAAAACATATTTTAGTGAGAAGAAACAGAAACAAAAAATACCAATAATGAAGAGTTCGGGTACAAGAAAACATAGTTATAGAGAAGAGAACTCCAAATGAAAAACAATCTCAAAACTCCCAAGGCAATTGGCCTGATCATTATAGAGTGGTTCTTAACAGGATAACTAGCAGGCAAAAGAAAATCAAATAACACTGCAAGAGTGTAACAGCCCACTTTAGGCTTTTCCTTTCTTTTCCTTCTGGGCTTCCTCTCAACGTTTTAAAACAAATCTAGTATGGAGAGGTTTTCACACTGTTCCCCTCTCCAACCGACGTGAGATTTCACAATCTACCCCCTTCGGGGCTCAGTGTCCTCGCTGGCACTCGTTTCCCTCTCTAATTGATGTGGGATCTCAAAATCCACCTCTTTTGGGACCAAGCGTCTTCGCTTGCACTCGAGATCTTTCGAATGATCATTTTTTTGTTCTAGGTATCACACAATGCCACAGGCTAGAGAGTAACTTCTCTGTTTAGTAAGTATATCAAGTGAAATAAGGTAACCATTTAATCTTTCACAAGCTCATGAATCCAACAACATATCAAACTGATATCTCAACGTAAATAGAATCTATCTGTATTGGGAAATTGATGAACAAATTACAAAGTAAATCCTGATCAAGTTGATCGAGTGTGGTGGTAAACTTATCAACCCAAGCATAGTGCATTTGATCAAATCAGAATATCAGATAAGTTCTACTGTCTGAAAGAAGCAGCAAGCACAAGCATCACAAATGTCTGGAATGCAAGAAAAACAAATAATAAACATGCAACATATACTTCATTGTAGACATACACAGCCATTATCTAGTGAGAGTAAAGCAATAAGCAAAGTAGCAACATTCACATGACCCAGGGAAAATCGATCAAATAAAATTGAAATAATATAAACAAGCGAGAAGTACCCCAAAGAGCCGCGCTCTTTAAGAGAGGTGGAACTGGTACTTCATCTTCAGATTTCTTTATGCTCCTGATGTATGCCAAAAGAAATGGGTAAGGATCACATAAAAAAAGAAACAACAACAATCAACGTTGTAAACGAAATGTGCGAGAGCAAAATTCGTGGAATAGATATAACCTTTTTGAGATCATTATTAAATTTGCAATGCCTTGGCCGATTATACCACATCCAAATCCTATTGCACCATACATGAGTCCCTAAAGCAATAAGCATAAAAATAAGTTCTCAAGTATAAGAGTTTTAGCCCACAGCTAGCAGATATTGTCCGCTTTGACTTGTTATATATCGTTGTCAGCCTCTCACGTTTGCAAGGGAGAAGTTTCTACACTCTTACAAGGAATGCTTCATTCTCATCTCCAACCGATGTGGGATCTCACACTAAGAGATAAAAATAAGTTTGGGTAAAAGTATCTTATAACCCTCACCTTATAGAAAAATGTAAGAATTCTTTGTTGTACAGAAAATCTACATCCTGGTCGTTCAGCTTCAAAAACACTACACATGAAGAAGACGGCTTCTAAACATATTGGTTTCATAAGGAATGATGATAACTTACAAGCAACACAACTCAGCTTCTAAACCTGCTTGGTAGTGCTTCACAAGCACGAAGAGTGCGTCCAAGGAAACCTTTTGACACAGACGGTTGCCCAAAACGAGCATAAGGTGCCAAAAGGGCAACCAAAGCAAAGTTAACACCCACGCCCACCAAAATATCAGCAAGATAAAGCTCAAATTCTGTCCAGAAATCTTTGCCTCTCTTTTGAACTTCCGCAAAAGTAGCGCAGCAAGAATCAATAACTAACTGCAAATATTGAATCAGTGATTTAAAAAAATGTGTATGACATCGGGAGTTATGTCAAAACTATAAATAGTGAAATATGGTAAGAGGATGAGGTAATAGACCTCGACGCCAACTTTGAAGAAAAATGATGGATCAGCCAGCATCCGGTTTCGAAGCATAGCACAAGACTTCATCAAAAAGCCAAGAGGCCAACCTAAACCCTTCAATAACCAAAAAGGAAATTGCTTAGCAGAAGTGGCAAAAGATGTTAGGGAAGATAAGTTCTTACCTGCATCTCCAAATATCTAAGCAGCAGCAGCTTGCGAATTCCCTTGCTCTTCGCTGCCTCCAACATATCTGAAGGCAGACTTACCCCTCTTGATTCCACCTCTTTCATCACCTCATCAAATTTCATAATTGGACCAAATTCCTCTTCTTCTTTGTCTCCCTTATTGTCATCGCCATTACCCCCGCCACCGCCGCGGCCACCTCCTTCACCGTTATTATAATTTCCATTACCACCGTTATCATTGTCCACTTTTGATATCTCCGAAATTCTAAAATCCTTTCCCCTAATGGTCTCATCTTCTTCCTTCGAAACAGGAATAGCAGCTGCAGGAGCGTCTGAGTCCAAATGCGACTGAGAAAAATCCATCATTACCGAGAATTTATTTTTCCTCTTTATAGTGATGCATCTGCCAATACTTTTTCTAGCCGATGCTGGATAAGCAACCTCCTTCACCACATTTCTAAAGGCTCTGCAGCCAAAAGCCACCCCCCGACTCCACATCTTCCCCAAAATTACTTCATTCCCGAAATCCACAGAACAGGATGTTCCAAATACCGCCATGTAGAGAATCCAACTACGAATTGTTGACAAATTTACAACTTCACCAGAGAAAACCACAAGGCAACAAAAAAAAAAAAAAAAAACAGATTAACGAATGTAATCGCGCCTAAACTTGTAATCAACATGCAACAACATAAGAAGTTGTTTTAGGCATCACGCTGTAGAAAGCAGGATTAGACAGTCATATTATCGTTGTTCTTCCGATTAACAAGCGAAGAACTTCAACAGGAAAACAAAGATACAGAATCTATAAGTTATGCCGGGGAATGAGTATACCTCTGCGGGAGCGATAACAAATTCGATTAAGGAAGTCGGCGGTATGCAGATGTAGGCAGGGAATAAGGTATATTGGAGGCGGCGGAGGAGCAAAGCGGCAGAAGTTATGAAGAGGTTATACCATATATGTTGGTTTTCCTGTGCCTCTCTTTTTAAGTCGACAGTGGCGCTATAAGTTCGTTGAGTAGCAGTGGCAACAAACCAGCGGTCCCCCGCATGGCAACGGAGCCATATATATATAATATATATATATATATATTTGTGAGGTTTATATAATTCAATTCAGCTGAAATTTGAGCTCAAAACTACAATAATTATTGAATACTAAATTGTGTAAGGAAAAAAAAGATAATTGAATGAGACATTGGAGAGAGCGAAGTAGCGAAGTGGGAGGCAGCACAGAGCCAATATGCCAGCGGGATGGCCACGAAAGATGCCAAGTTGCCACGGTTGAATCGAAGCCTCAATTCCGCCTTTTTCTTCTTCTTTCTCTCTTTCTCTTCAAATATACAATTTAGTTTCTCCTTTGGAGCAATTGAAAAGCCAATCAAAAAAGAAAAAAAGAAAAAAAAAGAATGGAAACCCATCACACGCCTTTGGATTCACAAATGAGATTTTCCACGCCTTTGTCTTTTTAGTGTTTATTATGTTATTTTTAATTTTTTTAATATAGTTTCTTTTATTAAAAAATGCTAAAAAAATTCAAAATTTAATATTATAACTAACCATTTTTTTAAATATTATAATTAAACTCTCAAA